CCCCAAAACCCCAAAACCCCAAAACCCCTATTTCACTTTCTTTAGTTGAATTTTTCTGATGAATTATCATTCCTTTAACTATCTCACAATTTTCAAGGACGTAGACAACAAGCCATTCTTGATTCCGAATTCTTCATATGCCATTGTAACATCACTGATCTCTTCATAAGGAGGAAGTTTGTGCTTTCTGACTACTTCCTTGAATGCACTCATGACATCTTCAACTTTCACAGAATCTTTATCAATAACAATGTCATCCTTGGTGGCTTCGAAGTAGATCTCCTCGCTTTCATCTTCCTTATCTTCAATAGGCTCTTTCTCTTCTTCCTCATCTTTTGCAAGGGGCTCACTTCCTGTGGCAATTTCTAAAGGGTTATAGATCAAATACCTTTATCTTCTTCTATCTCATTTTTTTTCGGATTGTAGTACTTGTTCGGGTAAACCAAGGCTTTTAAGTAGCTATTACCAGTATCAGGCTGGATCTTGACATCTTGGATAATCTCTAATTCGCTATACAAGGATTCTAGCCTGACGGGGTCGACTATCTCACCATTGGCCAGGACTATTTTGGATCTCTGATTTGATAAGAGCCTGATGGCTCCTGCAGAAGAGACATAAGCAACATCTCCTGTGTCGATCCAGTATTCGTTCTCTTCCAGTTTTGCTGTACTTCCTAGATAATTTTTTACCACTCCAGGCCCTTTGATGAAAATCCTTCCGACTGTGGGAGGATCTTCATCACAGGTGAATTCAGGGCAATCTTTTCTTTCAACGTACTCTAACTTCATCTCAAGATGTTCAAGGACTCCTCCAACATGGTCCTTGATGATGTCATCTGCTGATGCAAGGCTGATGATCCCAGCAGCTTGTTTGTGGGTGTAGGCTTCCCAAATCTTAGTGCTGCAGGAAATTCTGATGAAATCAAGGATTTCTTGGGAAATGTAATCCCCACCTACTAAGATGTGTTTCATGCCAGTCCCTAATACACTTCTTTTAAGTGGCTTCAGGACAGTCCTATCATACATTCTGTTATCAACCGATGAAGAGGTTTTCAGAGATTCTGACTTTGAACTGAGAGCCCACTTGACTGCTCTCAGCATTATTCTGTTCTTCTTACTGATCGAAGCTTGGATTTTCTTGTAAAATTTTAGTAGGAGCTTTGATGAGCAGTAGAAATGAGTAGGCTTCAGCGCCTGCATATCCAAGCTGAGGTCATTGATGTTTCCGCTAGAGTACCCAATGCTCCCTCCTACATAAGTTGTAGCCATAATTCATACTCTGTCTAAAATTGAGGTGACAGGAAGATATGAGAAATAAATATCAGAGTTCTCAAGGATCAATCCCCTTCTTGCCATTGATCCTATAGGCCCACACATCATCTGATGGGTAATTTGGGATCCTACTTTCGCTTCAGAGTCAAATATAATAGTGAAAGTGGAATCTATCTGTGGTTTTGGGATGTCTATTTAGCATATTTATCACAAAATTAGCTTACCGACAGGAAGTTCTCTTCCATAATTTATCACTGAGTTGAGATTATACACCTCAAAACCATCAATGTCTTTGCACTCTTTTTCTAGTTCTTCTTTGATTTCGTCAAAACAGATAAAGCTCTTAAGTGAATTTAGCTGATCTTTCTTCTTAAGTCTCATAACGGTCTTAAGAACCTGAAGAGAGCCGAACAGAGTATTAATATTGGATGTATCAACAATAGTTTTGAACTTTTCAACTTTAGAATTGGTCTGCATCTGGAAACTCTCCTCATCACTATCCTTTATGTCACAGAGCCCATAGTCAATACTGACTGAGGTGATTTCAGCCTGTAAGCATGCAAAGTCAAGTAAGGTAGTTTCAGGGCAACTTTGGCTACAGATTCCAAAGAGCCTGAGGCCTTCATCAGTCTTTGTAAAGAGCTCTCTCTCGATAATTGACTTGGCAAGATCTTCTGAATAACAAAGTGCTTCTTCATAAGTCATCCATGCATATTTATGCTTTTCAGAATGTCGTTTGCCTAGAAAATTCTTGCCAGCATATTGGTTGCATGACTTGAAGAACATACTTCTCAAGTTAAGCTTGCTATCAGGGAGACAGCAGAGGAGTCCTTCTGGGGAGTTAATGCTCCTGTAAATCCTAGTGTCCTATCAAGATAGTTCCTTAGGATACTTACCTTCTCTTCTCCGTCACTGCCGGTTGCATATTTGCATGACTTATTTCCCATTTTCAAAAATGTTTCAATTTTGAAATCCACGAAAGGGGTTTTGGGGTTTTGGGGTTTTGGGG